GGGGTGGAAGCAGTTCATGAAGGGGATGAATACTATCAGTAGTTATCTTATCCCATTGTAGCCTATCTTTGATTCTAATTACATCAGTAATGTGTTTATATTTGCTGGTATAACCATAACGCAGAGCCCGCTGGCAAAACCTATCCATTTGGGAGAGACATTTACTATAGATGATATAGATTTAAAATGCTGCAAAATTAAACTTAAGTTTGCTGCTTTTCAGTTGTTTCCAATAGCTAAATAACAAATAGAAACATACCCCTAACCCTGAAAAGGGATTTAGAGGTTTTGATTAAGAAAATTCAGATTAAATCGTTAGTCTATCTTTTTCTCTCTCGGATTCTCTGCTGTCTTTGGGTCTCTGGGTCTCAGAGCCTATTTAGTATATTTTGCGCCTTATATATACCTTTCACATGTGGTCTCCAGGTCCCGTTGGACCAGCGGCCGAAGCCATCCCATAACAACTTGCAATCCTCGCCGCAAGAGGGAGGGTTACCCAGTCCATAACTCAGAAATTCTGAAAGTGTAAAGATAACGTTATCCCGCTGTTGCTGATTTTAAAACTGCTGGGAAATTAACAGTTAGATGAGCAATATCTAAAATCGGCTGCCAGAGCATTACCATCGTATTTTGTGGGCCCAGCTGGTGACGGAACAGTTATGGTCAGCGGTATTCCTTCCCAAAGAGGGGTGCGTATAAAGACATAACGCTCCACCAAGCTTCCTTCTGGTTGACTGCTGCCATGGATATTTCCTGTCGGGCAGACAGAGAAACGAGAAACAATGACAGGAAGGTGCGTTCAGTAATCTATTTTACGATAACTGTTGAAATTCCCACGCGCTCATTGGCTAATTTTCATTGTCAATGAGCGGACAAACACATGAATTTATAATTTATGCGAAGCGTCAACGAGCGAGAGCTGACAATTTGACAATTTGTTATCTTAAAAAACAAATTGAGTCAGTTTTTCATGTGTCTGTCCTATTATTGACAATGAATTTCGTCATAGCATTGTCAAAGTAGTCTGTGGATCCACGAGGCGATAGCCAAGTGGATCCACAGACTACTTTGACAATGCTATGACGAAATTCATGATCAATAACAGGACAGACGCATGAAAAACTGACGTCAATTTGCTAACTAGATTTGACAAGAAAATCATAAAAGAGGAGGTTTAGATGTATCTGAATATTTTCACAGCCGTTTCGCCCAATTTTCCTAAACTCTAAGGACTGTTTTCTTAACAAGAAAGAAAATGAAGCATTTTTTTACTTTATGAGCCGCATTACACTTTGGCGAGATACGCATTAAAGTATTTTTCACATCCAGTACGTCAACGTCGATCGCTTGAAGTCAAAATGGGAAGATTGTCGCGTTTATTGCGTAAAACTTCATAGAAAATAAGCGCACTAAATTTCTCTCCACTGTTGCCGTAACTTACCGAGCATAAACCAGTAATCAGGAGGGTTTTTCATTCCGTCACACAACGAGTAATCCAAAATGATCGACGCAAAGTAGGTCCCAGGCTCCAGGATGAGAAACAGCACCTCGTACGTTCCATTGCCGTGATCAATCACTGTCGGTGCAAGCACAGATGGTCCCCATATAAGAACCCTCCAATCGTCGCCCCCTATAGTCTTGGGTTGACCGTTATAGGACTGGGACTGAATGCTGAATCTGCTAAACTCCCCAGCAGGTTTAATGTCCATAAAAGGAATAATGCTTTTAGTGGGGTCGGTCCTGTTTTGGATTCCCCAACCGGGTAAATCCACGCCAAATTTGGTGTTCCCTTCACAAGTTGCTCCCAGTAGTTCCCAGTCCGTTGCAACCCTGCGTACTCGGCACCAATCTTTTCTAAATTCTAACAGACCGTTGAAAGTTGTCGTTTTTGTGGCATGCACAGGAAAATACCACTTAAGGTACACAAACAGAGTAATGGTTAACGCCCAGAGGACGAAAAACGTTCTGCGCGGAACAAATATTCTGTGCACTACCCTGCGTCTTGTCACAAGTAATTGAGCGGAGGCCCGCAATTGACGGAACTTGCGCCACAGTCCTGGTGAACAGCGGAGAACATCTTGTAATGTTTTTCGTCCATTGGTTCCTTTTGGGTATATATTGACATTTCTGCCAGATTCAGTCATAGAATGTACTTTCTATAAAATAAAGGCTTGTGAGGCTGGAGCGCGTAAAGAGATTGTCCTCCAGGCTTCATGGAATTGTCTACCTAGGAAACAAGTGACGACTGCTCAATAGCCAGCTTTCATTTGAATGATCACACAGTAGGTTTTCATCTACAGACCCAAAAGATAGAACCACCTTCTACAGCATATAATCAACAGTACCACATGAATGTACTGCTCAATAGCTTTCATTTGCCGTGATGATCACACCCTAGGGTTTCATTCACAGACTAAAAAGTTAGAACCACCCTGTAGAGCAAAATAAACAGTAAAGCATAAAAGTCCTCTTCAATATCTTTCACTTGAATGGTTACACACGAGGATTTCATTAATTACAGGTTAGAACCACCTTATATACTCATTTATACCATGTCGTAAGAAAATATAGCCAATCACAGTATGGAAAGCCGTTGTCTACTCGACGGTATTATACCACTGGCTGTATTTTCTATGGCATGGTATAAAATAGTTGTCTAAAGTTTTGCATTGTTAGTATCCCTTACAGGCAGGCATCACATGAATCGGTTTTTTTTAAAACAGTAAATTGAGTATACCAGAAGTTTTATCGAGAAAACTTATCAGACGATTCAGTGTGAAGAACACTGTGAAGCAATTGAGAACCAAAGACATTAATTATAACACCTTCTGTTATAGTAACAATTTTGAAACTGATAGTCTTTCAACTGAAAAGAGTTTATAGAAGCTTAAATTCGTGTATTCATACATGAATTCGACTATTCAAAATAAGACTATTCGATTCGTTACTGCCCTCATTGATCATCTCTTGATCATATGGTTTCAAACTGGGATTGCCATTTACGTTTGCTACCGTGAAAGGAAAAGCACAGATGGATCGAATCCAATCATGTGTAGAAGTCCTATGTCATCTGTCGGGGCGTATCCAAAGAATATAAGCGTCTGACCGAGGGTATTCAAGTAGAATTATATTACCAAATAATAAAACAAATGGCTGACTATATTTCATTCAGTCAAGCCTGTCTTGTTGCACTTGCAGGTGACAGATTCAAGATATTTACCTGAGAAATAT